AAAAAAAAAATTAAACCAATCATGATTCTGAGATTTAATTATTTAAATGAAAAAGAAATTCGTATAATAAATAAATCTAAAACAACTTTTTAAATAGATTATCTTTCTTAATACAAATGCACACTAGCCAAAACATACAGATTTATGCAACATTCCCTTCCCCCCACCCCCCACCAACCCATTTCAAACTGATATCATCTGTTCCTGGGTCACCTTCTCTAGTTACAAATGTGAAATTTGAGATAGGAATAAAAATCACTTTAATATCAACTAGAGTAAGATGCAGTGAGAACAGAAATCTGCCATTACTAATTAGCACTGGTAAGATTTAATTCTACTAGAATAGACATTTATATAAAAGAAGATGTGCATCTGCCTCTTTACAGATGGTAATTTATTTGAAAAAAAAAAGTCTATCAATTTCAAACATCATCTGTGAGACAAGACATCATTCTGCAGTGTCAAATCATTCATTATAATCAGTAGAGGCTCTAGGCCAGAGTCAGGATGAAACAGGATCCAGTAGCCACTTGTGTTTAATCTTAGACTATTCATGCCTCAGTTCACAAAGCTTGACTAAGAGACCCTTGACTAAGAGACCCTTTGTAAATTTCATAGCTGTAGAGGTTAAACGGTCCAAATGACTCTTCATAGATGCAGGACTAATTCAACCTAGACTTGAATTAGCACCTTTAAAAGAATAATGTGGGGCATGATAATAACAATAATAATGATAGTAATAATACTGTACTTAAATAAGAACCTTCTATAAATACTTGGAAGGCATACCTTATTTTCTTTGTATCTACTGAGATCTGCTATGCAGTATTCCTTGAATAATTTATCATAGTATTTCTTTGCAAGTTTCTTCTCCCTAGATCCATAAAAAATATATAAATCTTTTGCATTTAGAAATTCAACCACAGTTTACTACTTGGAAGCAATGTCAATAAATAACACATATGATATAAATATTAATGTTTTAAAAGAGGCCTATTCCTTACATGTGCATAGAATACCTGAATATTAACTGTTTATAGTGGCTCTCTCAGGGAGGGCAACTGCAAGGCTGCCAGTCAGAGAAGGGGAGCCTTACTCCTCACTTTTTGTCTTTTGTTATGTTTGCATTTCAGGTATTACTTTTTCCCAAGATATTTTAAAAATAAGCACATTATGGAACAACAAACGATACACTAAAAATGTAATAAACTATATTTTCAAGGCAAAGTCAAGCAATGACAAGTCAGTAAAAACTGCTAAAAATTACCAAAAGAACCAAACCAAACATAATACTACTCCAAGGCATGTTTTTATGTCTTCCACTCAGAACTCCTCCACGCAGGGGCTGAATGACCTGGACAGGTGACAGGGTAAGAAAACAGGAAGCAAGCAGGAGAGACAGGACTAAAGCAGTTTATGTATTATGTGTTGGATGGCAAAAATTACCAATTCATGTCCATTTCATCCTCCTCATTCCATAGGAATCTATGATTTTCTCGTATAACATCCATGTCTGTCTTGTCATTTTCCCTGGAAAATAAAACTATTTCAATTTAATATAAACACAAAATTTGTCAAATTTAGGAGGTTAAACAGTTCTGTGAGATTTTTTAATAGCTGAGTATAAATACATGAAGATAAAGATAGTTTTATGTGTGAATATGTATATATGTACATAAACTTATAAAAATGATTTCAGTTTTTTCAAAAGACACTGATAAAGAGGGCTGCTACACAAACAAGTTAAATGAATAAGGCATTTATCCGTCTCTAGTACTGGTTTCAATTATACAAATGGTGCTAAATTACCAAAGATAGTTTGAGAAATCTAAATAAACACTAATTGGATAAGGAAAAATGAGTGAAAGTAAGTTTTAGAATCTAAAACATCAGTAACACCATGCCACAGAGATCAAATTTAAAAAATGGAAGAGTTTTCCATACCTCATTTTACTACAGCTTCCTAGAAAGACTGAGTAACGGCAGAACAGAAGAGAGGGGATGATATTTTTAAGATGCTAACAGTTTGGGGGTGTCTGGGTGGCTCAGTCAGTTAAGCATTCAATTCTTGATTTTGGCTCAGATCATGATCTCACGTTCGTGAGACTGAGCCCTGTGTTAGGCTCTGTGCTGACAGTGCAGAGCCTGCTTGGCATTCTTTCTCTCCTTTCTCTCTCTGCTCCTCCCCCACTCCCTCTCTCAAAATAAATAAATAAATAAACTTAAAAAAAAATGTGTTAACAGTTTGGGGGCAGAACAAGGGATTGTTGGGGAATACAGACTAAAGTGAGAGGGGAGATAAATTTGAGGTAGATGAGATAATACAAAGTTTTTTAGCGCTTTATCAAACTCAGAAAATTATTAAGTCAGAGAAAGAAAACACACACCATGAAGAGGCTCTGATAGAAGAGCCTCAACTACAGGGAGGAGTTGCTTTTTGTTTTTGTTTCTTTTCCTGTTTGCGCTACCTTTTAAAAAGCAATCCCAAACACTGAGGTCTAAAAAGTTAATGATCTCAAAAATCCTTACCAAAAAAAAAAAAAAATTACTGCATAATCAGGCATCGGAGTATTCCTCACATATCCTGTTACTGCTTGAGGCAGATCTGGCTCTGCAGGCTACCTGAGGCCTATTGCCAGATAATGGGCTTCATGATGAGCTACTTAGCCCAAAGTTACGGATAGCCTCTCCATTTCAGGATATGATGAGGAAACTGGAATGGAGAGCAGAATCAGAAGACACAGTAGCTGTGGGTCTTTAAAGACATCCATATCTTCCTCCCATTCTATGTAAACCTCATGACACTTACCCCAATCGTTTGAAGTCTTCTTTTTTGCCACCATAGTACAAAATATAGTCATTTACAAACTTTGTATGCCTTTGATACTGAAATGCAAAAAATTAAGGATTTTATTTGTTCAGGAGTTGTTCTGTGTCCATGACATACTAGTAAGTAGAGACAAACAGTATGAATCTACTTAGTTTTTTAAATATGTAAATACATACTATGTATGTTTATGAATTAAAAATATCTGAAAGGGTAAATATTAAACTGTTGAGTCAACACTGTAGCATAGAAGGACTTTCTACTGAATACTGTTTATATTGTTTTGAACATTTTTCAAGCATATACTACTCTTGTGATAAAATATTATCTCCAACTGGGAAGAAGGAAAACTTCTTGTTCCTATTGCTGAAATACATACAGCCTCACATCAATATTTATTTTAACAATACTATGAAAAATAAATTATAGTGTCCAAAATTAAAGATATGGAATACAATTTAACTCTTATCACTATAAGATCTAGTTATTCCAGTAATGACAAAGCCTCTAAAATAGAAGATACAACTTTTGTAATATTAAATCCTAACATTAAGCTTTCAAAAACAATGTTATTTTTTTATATTTATTTTAATATTTAAAGAATTCAGCCATGTTTATTTTTAACACAATATAACAAGATATATGACCGTTTTACTTGTTTTAAAAAGCTCAAAGGTATTTTCTCCAGAGCTGAATATGCAAATAAAATTAACCTCATTCATAATACTGTCTGACTACATCCTATTATATCAAAGATAAATAATGACCTAATTCATTACAATGTGTTCTGATAGAATATTGAATCAGAATATGATACTGGCAATAAAGCAGTTAACCTTCCAGAAAAGAAAAAAGAGAAAATCCAGACATCCAGAGATTTGGGTTTTCCAGCTTTTGGTCTATTTCAAATTTTTTCTGTAAATGGTCTCTTTGTCACCTGTAAACGTGTCTTTGTCACAACTGTTTGGCTCTGCCATTTTAGCATGAAAATAGGCACAGATAGCACCTCAATGAAAGAACACAGGTATGTGCCAATAAAACTTTATTTATAAAAACAGATGCTGAGTGGGACTTTGCTTCCAGGAAGATGGAGCAAAGTTGTACTTCTCCCTATTTTTCTCATTAAGAACAACTAAAAACCTTGGAAATTATATCTAAAACAAATATAAAAAGACCCTAAAAGTGAGGAGGAGAATCCATTAATAGCTAGGGAGTTCAAGACCCATGGTTTGACATGGCGGTAAGTTCCCCAGGTTTTCTTTTTGCCTCATGAACTCAGAATTGGAAGTGAAGAAGCTGGCAACCTGGAAATGTCAACAAGCACAGACAAGGAAAGTCCCAACAAAAGCCTGTTCTCTCTGAATAACCAAGAGAGAGGAAGCCTAACAAGACAGATAGCTTTAGACAACGCTTACTCTACTCCAGCCAAAAATTCTAGAAATAACTGTGGCCCTACCTCCACCAATGCCAGAAAAGGGACCTACACTTTCACTCTTACCAGGCTGTAACTAGATGCCCCAATACCCCCAAAAGAGTGGTGTCACCGAAGGCATAATAGATGCCGAAATGTTAAAGGAACAAGTGGCAGATGAGAATAAATCCATGGGAAAGGTGAGATATTGGATTAGAAGATAAGAGGAATAAATAAATCGGTGATAAGAGGATTTCTATAACTTATAGAAAAGGATTAGGAATGATAACAAAATGAAAGAGACGTCAATAGATAGGGGATGTACCTAATTGCCATGGTCTCCTCTTAATCCTGCCCGTAGTAATAAACATCCAGAAATACTTCAGGTCTTGCTTGACCTCTCTTTCATTCTCCCAATATTCCAAACAGTAGTATGGATGGATAGTGGTAGCAGTTAGTGTAATAAGCCACAGTCTTACCAAAAAGTTGAGGTGAGACATGACTATAATAGGGAAGCAAGAAAGAGCTTAAAGACAGCCCCAAGTCATGCCTAAGAGTTGAAGCAACTACAGGCCTGAGGACAGTCCACAGACAGATCTACCTTTAGACACATAAAGAACTTCCATAGCCAAGAACCAGGTAGTAAGAGAATAAGAGTCAAAATGAGATTAAAGATAAGAACAGTATTAAAATGAGAAATTTTGAGAGCCAGACAAAAACAGGTTGGAAAAATATTTGCAAGTTCATGGACTATTTTATAAACTTATTTATAGATCATTACTAATACGTCTTATTATTTTTGTCTCTAAATCTTTCTTATGTATCAATAAAAGAGAACTGTACTCAAAAGTATAAATGACAAGATTGCACATCAATAAACATTTACCTTTAAAAACATAATATAGGTCTATCTGACTTCACAAGATTTTATGAAATAGAAAAGTAGATTTAAAAATATTCTATTTGTTATAAAAATCTAGAAGTATAAAAAGGATACAGCATCCATAGCTATCAGATGAAACCTTCTATTTTTTGCTTCTTCCCTGTTAAGACAAATTTTAAGCAAATTCAAATTTCTATATTCTAATTAATACAATTAAATCCCCCAAGTCCCTGAGTTTACAAAAACATCTTAAAACAAAAAAGGACATTTACACTGAAGTACACACCTATCCAGCAATTCTGCGGCAACTTGTTTATGGGCCACCTTTCCATGTTTTTCTTTCTGAAATGGCTTTTTGAGCAGTACATCATCTTCAACTGTCCTGGTTTATGAAGAAGAAAAATTATTAAAAGAGTTCATTTTTCTTAAAGGGTGTTTCTTGTTTCTTTTTATTTTCCTAATTGGAACATGTTTTAAAATTTCAAGTCTAAACTTAAAAATGACTCACTGATCTTTAATGAGACATTTTAGGTCTCCTTAAATCACTTAATTAATATCTTAACTTTATTTAATACTTAGAAAATGGAGAAGGTGAAACAAACAAATGCATGGGTTCTGATGTTAGACCACCTACATTCGTGGATCCAAATTTGGGCTCTGTCATTCACTATCTTTTTTTTTTTCACCATCTTAATCTTAAATGAGATTAAGCTACTTAATCTCTTTGCGCCACAATTTTCCTGTTTGTAGAGATACTGATGCTTTTGGTAACCAATAATATAAAAAAGAATAAGGGTTGATTATAAATGATATAATAGACTATAGATGATCAGCCCTAGTTATAAAGATAGATATAACTGAAGAGTACAGACTATTCAGCTAGATTTGCTCAAGTTCTATACTTACAAAGTAATACTTTTAAGTGAAAAATCTTTAAAACATAAAGAACCATACAACATAATTTGTTATAATCATTTCTATTCGTTTGGTCACCCATGAATACTGAACCCAACAAAAATGTTCGGTTCCATTCACTATGCCTTACATATTGCTCTCGGTGTGAAATAGTAAAACAACTTTTATAAGTTTGGTTAATATAGATCAGTCAATCACTTCTAAGTTAACAGCTGAAATCAATTTCTAACCACTGAAAGCTGAAAACAATGCACCTAAACACAGCAATATCACCGGATGCAGAGTCCTCATAAAGCATAGGCTTTATTTGCTGACAGTTCTTGTCCCTTCCAATTCAATAAAAACTTCCATGAGCTCCTTCATTTAAACACTTAGTCTGCTCATTCACAAAACCATAAAACTGCACAGTCTCACCCTCCACATGAACTTCATTTTGAGGTCAAGTACTTGCAAAGGGACCTCCAACTAAGCCCGTACTTAGCTATGACATTCACAAGTAAAAAGACCTTAACAGTTGCATGAAAAATAGATGCAACAGAGAAATCTAAGTTTTGTTTGGTCTCCTTTTTCCCCCACCTCCACTTCCATAAATCTCTTCACAGCATAAACATCATTTTCTTATTTTTCACATAACTGTTCTCAAATTCTCGAGTCAATTCATTATAGTTTAATGAACAAAAATTCATTGAGTAGAGCATTGTTGTCTTCACATGTAAACATAATCCAGAAACTTTCAGTATTATTTATACGTCATCTCAACCTGGAAAGGATCTGAAACACAGATCAATAAAAAATTACTTACCTTTTTTTCCTTTTGTTAGATTCACCACAGTGTTCATCATCACTAAAATCAGAGTCATAGCCCCCATGACCATGCATCTGTAAAGAAGTATAAAGTCAGTTACCTAGAACCTAAATTGCTCATAGTTCAGGAAACAGTTCAAAAATAAGTTATCTTTAAAAGCTGTAGTAACTGTAAAGGATCATGGTGGGTATATCACTGTTCACCAGCCAACTAAAATTTTCATTCACTTTGAAGTAACAGACTTACCCTTCAGAAAATGAATCAATCAACATTTTCCACCTTAATTACTATTAAGCCAACCAGGGAAGCTACTCTTTGACCTCTTCACTGAAAACGAGGTTCTTTTTATAGAACCTGCCATGTGACTGCACACAAGATTCAGCGATGCTTCACCTTTGATTCAGTGTATTTATCACCAACTTTGTTCCAGACATTATGGTAGGTCCTTACCAAACACTGCTTCTAATTCCATAAATTAGGAACTATGATCTCCACTTTACAGATGAAGAAATCAAAGACAAAGTTAAGTAAATCAGTCACAGAGCAAATAAGTGGCTAAGCTGATCTACTTGACTCTTAAGCCCACGATTTCAACTACTCCAATTTGCCTTTACGGAATATGCTACCACTGATTATTATATTCCATTAGACTTACTCTATTTGTGAAGAGTACACTATCAATTCATTAAAACTTGCCTTTTTACAACATATGTTGAGATTTCCTAGTTCCTTCAAAGTAAACAACCTTGCCCTTTGGTCTAGTAAACTTTATTTTGTTCCAATTCATTTTTTAACTGAAATTCTTAGAAATCCAGGAAGATCTCAATTGTCACTCAGTTGTACTTGAAGAAGCCTCTGGTTTCAGCATTACACTGAATTTGGAACACACGTTAATGGGGAATCAGTGGATTATTTGACTTTTGAGGTCATACTCAATTCATATGGCTACAAGGAATTAGTCCAGGTCAAATGATATATCGAAATTTTTAAACTTTAATATTCACTATTACAAGTGCAGCAGGACAAAAAGGAAAGAACTCCCTAAACTTTACTGCACTGGACCTAAGACAAGATACCTTTCTAGTCCTGGCTACCTTGAATAAATTACTTTCTCTCTTTGGGCTTCATCTGCTAAATAAGGTGTCTACATCATGTAAACCTTAAATCTTACATATTTGTGAATTTTTATGATTCCATTTTCAAACTTAGGTGTGTGAGTGAAAACCTCTCTTCTCTGTCCCACAAAATTCTAAAGAGGAAGGTGCTAGCCAAGGTTGGAGGTAAAGGTTAGAAGGCCACAGTTCCAACTCTATCCTCCCTTAACATCTGTCATCACCTGGATCTCCCACCCTTTATCATGTCAACTCCTTGCTTCAGCTGTCTTACCACATCTCAGCAACTTCTCGCCCTTTATGTCCTCATTTTCCAAACATCTTGATGAGGGTCAACTATTGTGTGGAGCTTAGAGATGTATTTCTGGCATCAACCTACCAGAGTGCAAATCCTGGCTCTGAACTTTTCATGTCTCTTGTTCTGCATGTTCCTTAACCTCTCTGAGCCTCAGTTCCCTCTTTCCCCCTTCTATGAAACGAGGCTAATAAGAGCGCCGGTCTCCTATCTCATAGGACTGTACGTTAAATGTGGTACAGCATATAAAGAGTTTTAGAACAGAGTCTAATGTCATCTTGACCCCACAGCCCGCGACACCGCCTCCTACCGTTGCTCCCCCTCTCCCATTTTCCTCCCTCTGGCGGCTTCATCCATCCCATACTCATCTCAAATCAGTGGTTGCACTGAAAAGCTCTCACTCACTTCGGGTAACGAATCAAATGACAAGAGCCGAGAGAAATTCGAGACGGCAGACGCCGGGTGTTCTCTAGAACCAAAAAAAACACCAAAAGATAATCAACGAGTAGCATATGAGGAACAATTCTGGAGGTCCTTCTAGCCAGCCCCAAATACACTCAAGGCCCTTATCACACACCCCTTCGCTCCTCCCTGCTCTGCCAAGTACGCCCGCGGGAGTCGCTTCCCCTCTCCCGGTGGCTGCAGCGACTACGCACGGCCTGAGCGAGCCGCTGCAGGGCCAGTCCGGTTCGCCCCCGCCGCGCAGCCTCCCCTCAGCGAAGGCCGCCGCCGCCCGCTCCCCGCCTCTTTCTACGGGTCCCGATTGGGCGCCACTTCCGGTCCGGCTCGGCCGCGTGTCACACTTAAATGACACCGTCCTCGGGCGCGCCGACCTCGTGCTACAGCCAGAACAGCCCCGGGAAACAAAGGCAGCGGCAACCAGGGCCGGGAGAGTAGGCAAAGGCTATCTACTTTCTACAGTCGGAACCGTTAGTTTTTTTCCTCGGCCTCCTTCCCCTCGCGAGCGCAGCTTTTAATGTCGTGTGGTACTGCTCGCACTACGCCCACGCCCGTTTGAAAATATTTTGTTTTAGAAAAAAATCCTGCCTGTATATCCCCTGCCGTCCTCTTTCTAGTAACCTTAGTAACGCCTCCTCGGAGCATCCCCGCTGAAGCGTCTGTCTCCGATCTGCCTCTCCTCCTCCCTCCATAAAACAGTTCTCATAATTAAAACAAAAATAACTTTCCATCGTTTCACCACCCACACAATACATGCCATTCCAGTACTGGCGGCAGAGGAGCTCATGGAATATGGGAGCAAAGGAAGAACAGGGAATAGGGGAGATTTCACAGGGTCGCAGATTCTCCGCAACCACCTGGCACACGTGAAAAGGAATCTAAAATATTTCCTTTTCAAAAGAAGAAAAAGACAAAAACGTAGGCAGGAAAATTTAAATTATTTGAGCTCCACCAGGTTCTCCCTGTGTTTTACCTTTTCTACGTTATGATGCCCCATTCTGCTTTGCAGACCAGTTACTGGGTTCACGTCTTGTCTCCCTCCAGCTAACTGATTGATGCTTTTCATCTTTGCTTCCTCTTAGCACCCAACACAGTTCCTTGGAAATCACAAGCTCTAATTAAATATTTGTTGAATCGAACTGGCACGCCACTGACTTTTACAGCGGGCCCATTTTAGAGAAAACCTTGGCACTTAACATACATATCATTTTTACATCTTTTGCACTAAACAGAAGATAATGATATTCAAGGCCCCCTTCTATTCCTGAGAGTAAATTGTAGATCTTTTTTTACTCAATGCAGTGAATGTGATCTCAAAAATCTGTAAGTTAAATTACTGTAAATTCGATTATCTCAAAATACAGATTATACCGCAATAAAAACATTTATTCAAAAAATGTAAAGCAATAGGTAGCCTCACAATTTAACATTATACTATATTGAGTTACTTTGTCAAGCAGTTCCTTTTTTAGTAAATATCTAAAATCTATATTTAGTTCTTTTATTATTAAAACCAAGCACACCTGTACCTTATATTCAATTTACTTTCTACCGATATTTTTTTGTTTGTTTGTTTATTTATTTTTGGGACAGAGAGAGACAGAGCATGAACGGGGGAGGGGCAGAGAGAGAGGGAGACACAGAATCGGAAACAGGCTTCAGGCTCCGAGCCATCAGCCCAGAGCCTGACGCGGGGCTCGAACTCACGGACCGCGAGATCGTGACCTGGCTGAAGTCGGACGCTTAACCGACTGTGCCACCCAGGCGCCCCACTTTCTACCGATATTTGACATTTATTTTAATTTTTAATGTTTGTTCATTATGAGAGAGACAGAGAGAGAAAGAGAGAAAGAAAACAGGGGAGGGGCAAAAAGAGAGGGAGAGAGATCCCAAGCAGGCTCTGTGCTCTCAGCGCAGAGCCCCATGCAGGGCTCAAGCTAATGAACCTTGAGATCATGACCTGAGCCAAAACCAAAAGTCAGAGGCTCAGCCGACTGAGCCACCCAGGTGCCCCCCCCCCACCCCCCGCCCACAGTATTTGACATTTAATAGCATTTTTCAACTATTCTTGGTATGTTTTTGTACATTTTGTCTGTTGCTTTATTTTATTCTTAAAATAAGCCCCATTTTGCACCTGAGAAATAAAAGCACAGAACTTAAAGCCACAGACCTGGTGAAGGTCTAGAACTTGGAGTGCTTGTCTCTCCACAAGACTCAATTTTCTCTGTGTCTCTGTGTCTTTCTCTGTCAGTTTCTCTCTCTTTTTAACTCATTCATTGTGTGGGAAGTAGCTCCTGGTTCTAACATTTTAAGAATTTCAGATCTGTTGCTTCCAGACCATTCCGTCAAAGATTTGCATTTTTCCCTTTGAGGCAACAGCTATTGAAAGAGAAAAAATAGGAAATATATGTTAGGGATAGAACACATGATCTGAACTAAATACAATTTATACAGGATAGAAAACCTCCCTGAACAGAAAATCTCAAGTTTGCAATCACAGCTCAACAACTCTAAAAACACAAATATTTATTAACTGTTTGCTCTGGGCAGAGCACTATTCTAGTTACAGGGTTACAAATATGTAAAAGTCACTCCTTCCTCTCAAAGGTTGACTACTAATCAAAAAAGAATACATAGTGTAATGACAACAGTATATTCTATGGGGGCGCCTGGCTGGCTCAGTCAGTAGAGCATGTAACTCTTGATCTCAGGGTTGTGACTTGAGTCCCACATTGGGTGTAGAGATTACTTAACAAATAAAACCCTTAAAGAACAGGGGCGCCTGGGTGGCGCAGTCGGTTAGGCATCCGACTTCAGCCAGGTCACGATCTCGCGGTCCGTGAGTTCGAGCCCCGCGTCGGGCTCTGGGCTGATGGCTCAGAGCCTGGAGCCTGTTTCGGATTCTGTGTCTCCCTCTCTCTCTGCCCCTCCCCCGTTCATGCTTTGTCTCTCTCTGTCCCAAAAATAAATAAACGTTGAAAATCCTTAAAGAACAATATACTCTATCATATGCCAAGTACATAGTAAATGGCATAAACCTATGGTTCCTAATCTATAAAATGTGTTATTTCAATGAATGTGAACATCTAAATGTGCACCAGTGCCATGTAAGTCAAACAAAGCAACAAAATACTATGATAAGTATGTGGTGGAGTGAGGGAAGTTGGTGTCACGCCTCCCCGTTACCATCACCCTTCACTCTCAACATACATACTCTTATTGCCTACCCTCCCCGCTCTACGCTGCTCGTAGTAAAGAGCCACATTTCAGAGTCAGCCAGATTTTCTTCCACTTACTAGCTGGGAGATCTTGGGCAAATTATTTAATCTCTGAGTCTTAATTTCTTCATCTACAAAATGGAGATTAAAATAGCAGCTATCTCCTAGGGGGTTAATGAGGTTTAAAATGAAATGAGGCAGCTACATGCTTAGCATCATGTCTAATTCACAATGAGTACATAATAAATGCTACTTGGGGAAACAATCAGATTACAAGCATTCTTTCTCGAGAATAAGCTTAACATTTAACTGCTTCTTGAAGATAGCCCAGAAACAAACCCACACATATATAATCCCATGATTAATGGCATAGTTTTAAGTATGGACTCTTCAATAAGTAGTAATGGGTCAATCGAATAATATGGCAAAAAAAAAATCAGTTTCAGAGAAAACAGGAAAACAACTTCATGATATTTCATATCTTCCTTAGGGCAGAAAAAAATTTCCTAGACAGGACGCACAAGGGGCTAACCATTAAGGAAAAAATAAATTAATTAAAGACTTCTGTTTAGGGATGCCTGCCTGGCTCAGTCAGTGGAGTGAGCAACTCTTAATTTCAGGGTTGTGGGTTCGGGCTCCACATTGAGTATAGAGATTACTTAATAAATCTTTAAAACTAAATAAATAAATAGGGGCACCTGATTGGCTCAGTTGGTTAAGCGTCTGACTCTTGATATCAGCTCAGGTCATGATCTCCCTGTCCTGGGATTGAAACCCCATGTGGGGCTCTGTACTCAGCCCAGGGCCTGCTTGGGATTCTTTCTCCCTCTCTCTGCCCCTCCCCTGCACGCATACACGTGCTTTCTCTCTCTCAAAATACATAAACTTTAAATTAATTAATTAATTAATTAATCAACCAATTAATAATAAATAAAACAAAGGTTTCTGTGCATTTAAAAGATGATTAAAATGAAAAGTTGATTCATGGGGTGGGAAAAAATATTGCAGTATGCACGGTCAACAAATTATCAGGTTATATGAAGAACTTTAAAAATCGTTAAGCAGGGGCGCCTGGGTGGTGCAGTCGGTTAAGCGTCCGACTTCAGCCAGGTCACGATCTCGCGGTCCAGGAGTTCGAGCCCCGCGTCAGGCTCTGGGCTGATGGCTCGGAGCCTGGAGCCTGTTTCCGATTCTGTGTCTCCCTCTCTCTCTGCCCCTCCCCCGTTCATGCTCTGTCTCTCTCTGTCCCAAAAATAAATAAAAAATGTTGAAAAAAAATTAAAAAAAAAATCGTTAAGTAAAAGCCAGAAAGCTAATAGAAAATTTAGCAAAAAGACTTGAACAATTAACAAAATCGGATACCCAAATGGCCAATGCATATCAAACAAAGTGCTCATCTTTACCAGTTATCAGAGAAATGGGAATTAAGAACAGGAGGTACACCATTACACATCCACCAGAATGGCTAAACAGAAAAGACAGATCTAGTGCTGATGAATATATCCTATGTCTCATATATTCCATTCCTCAGCGTATTTTCAACAGAAAAGTGTACATATGTTCATTGAAAGACCTGAACTAGAAGACACTAGTTATAAATAACAGTGCTGTTTATAAGGAAAAAACTGGAAGCAACCCAAATGTCCCTCAGCAATGGAACAGTTCAATAAGTTATAGTTTATTCCCACAATGGAAGACTACAGAACAATACAAGTGAATAAACTACAACTATACACAACAGCTTAGGTGGATCTCATAAATATAATGCTGAGCAGAAGAAACATTGTATATGATGAAATTTGAAGTGGGGTTTGCGAGAAAATGGCTAAGAAAGAATTCTTGAGACTTTTTGGTGCAAAAAGGTGATCTTATTAAAGCATGGGGACAGAACCCATGGGCAGAAAGAGCTGCACTGGGGTTGTGAGGAGTGACTGATTATATATATTTAAGTTGGTCGAGGGAGGGGAGATAGAGATAAAGTAAGTTTCTAAGGAATTTTGGAAGCAAGGCTTTCAGGACCTTGAGGGGCTAGCTGCTGTTCAGGTAAGGTTACTT